CATTTCACTTTGCATAGCCTTTACTTTTTCCTCTAGTTTTTAACCATACTCAACCATTTCTGTGAGCATCCTGATTACCAGTGTTTTGAACTGTGATTCTGATAGGTTAGCTATCTGTTCATTGCCTAATTCTATTTTTGGAGCTTTCTTCTTTTCTTTCATTTGGGCCATATTTTTTTAGTCTCAGCACCTGTTATATTGTGAGGGGTGGAGCCTTAAGTTTTTCCAGGGTGGGGCAACCCACATCACTGAGTTGTGGCACTGTATAGGTGGGAGGAGTCCAAGAGAGAACAATGCCATTTGCTTGGCTCTCTGCTGGCTTTCAGTCACTTTCCCCACTATACACAAGCAAATTGGGCCCTTCTGGTGCTGATTCCTGGGTGGGTGGGTTTGTGTACATTCTAGGACCCTGTAGGTCTCTCTAATGAACTCTCCTGTGAGGCAGGGAGTATCTTCTACTGCTGCAACCCCCATAGGCTTTTTCATTCAGAGGTTTTGAGGCTTATTTCCCTATGCTGCAACCCTCAGTTGTACAATCTGTCTCATAAAATGCTCTGAAATCAAAGCTTTTTAACTAAAAGCATTCATGGTGGGTAGTCATGTCCTAGGCCAGAATCTTCCCTGACAAAAGGCAATCTTTACCTTAATCGAGCCTATGTATTGTCTATTTGCATCTATGATAACATATCTTTGGAATGGCAAGGTAACTTCCCTTTTCTGAACCCCTCAGGCACAACCATGTACCAAATCAGAGACCACAAATCCCTTTATTACTATTGTAGACTATAAATCCACTCATTCTTATTGTTATATTAATTGTTGATTATTAACTGTCCTGTACCCACCTATGTAAAGAAGAATGAGCCTATCATTTTACTTTTTACCCAACCCAGAGGTTTCCTTGCTTTGCTTTTCCCACCTACTTAATCTATCACCAATGGATTTCATGTAACCTTTTCATGCCTCCTCCTTTAACCATAATGTGTAAAAAAAGGTGCAAAACTGCCACTTTCTACAGCATGTTCTCAGTCTGTTGATGTTTTAATTCCTGGCAATCCTCATCACTTTGGCTCAAATAAACTCATACAAATTCTTTAAAGAAAAAAGAAGCAATCAGAAATGAAAAATACAATAACTTAAATAGAGAATTAATTAAAGGAAATCAACAGTAAGTAGATGAAGCAAATAATCAAATTAGCAATGTGGCATTAAGAAAGCAGAAAATGCCTAATCAGAAGAGCAAGATAAAGGATCCAAAAGAAAAATAAGCATAGTTTAAGGGGCCTCTGTAACAACATCAAGAGTATAAACATTCACATGATAGAGGTGAAGAGAGAGAGCAAAAAACTGGAAAACTATATGAAGAGTTATTGATGGGAATCTTTTCTAAACTGGCAGAGGAAACAGACATACAAGTCCAGGATACACAGAGAATCCCAAACAAGATGGATGGTCCCAAAGAGGCCTACACCAAGGCACATCATAATTAAATGCCAAAGGTTACAGACGCAAGAGGAAAGCAAATAGTTACTTACAAAGGAGCTCCCACAAGACTGTCAGCTGATTTTGCAACAGAACCTTGGCAGGACAGAAGGGACTGGCACGAAATATTCAAAGTATGAAAACCACAGACTTAACAACAAAGATTATTCTACCCAGCAAAGCTATCATTTACAAGCAAAGGGGACTTCTGGCCAAGATGGAGGTGTAGGTAGACACACTGTGTCTCCTTGCACAACCAAAAGAAGGATAACAACACATTTAAAAACAAAAAAAAACTATAACTGCTAGAAAATCATACTGTATGGAAGTCAAACAACCAAGGAGTTAAAGAAACATTCACCTAGAACAGTATGGGGGGTGGAGACAGGCAGCTAGGGCAGAGAGGACATGCAGCAAGGTGGCAGCCAGAAGACCTGGGTGGGTGAGGCGGTGGCTAGTGAACCGGGCAGTCCCACATTTGTGTGCAGATAAGCCTGGAGAAATAACTGGGGAGTGAGATAGACCACTCAACTCAGGATTGCAGCACAGGGAAATAAGCCCCAAAACCTCTGAATGAAAAAACCTATGGGGGTTGCAGCAGTAGAAGATACTCCCTGCCTCACTAGAGAGTTCATTGGAGAGACCTACAGGGTCCTAGAATGTACACAAACCCACCTACCCAGGAATCAGCACCAGAAGGGCCCAATTTGCTTGTGTATAGTGGGGAAAGTGACTGAAAGCCAGCAGAGAGCCAAGCAAATGGCATTGTTCTCTCTTGGACTCCTCCCACCTATACAGTGCCACAACTCAGTGATGTGGGTTGCCCCACCCTGGAAAAACTTAAGGCTCCACCCCTCACAATATAACAGGTGCTGAGACTAAAAATATGGCCCAAATGAAAGAAAAGAAGAAAGCTCCAAAAATAGAACTAAGCAATGAAGCAATATCAGAATCACAGTTCAAAACACTGGTAATCAGGATGCTCACAGAAATGGTTGAGTATGGTTAAAAACTAGAGGAAAAAGTAAAGGCTATGCAAAGTGAAATGAAGGCAAATGTACAGGGAACCAATGGTGACATGAAGGAAACTGGTACTCAAATGAACAGTTTGGAGCAGAAGGAAGAAATAAACATTTAACCAAGACAGAATGAAGAAAGAAGAATTCAAATAAATGAGGAGAGGCTTAGGAACTTCCAGGACAACTTTAAGTGTTCCAACATCCAAATCATAGAGTGGGGCCAGAAGGAGAAGAAGAATAGCAAGAAATTGAAAACTTATTTGAAAAAGTAATGAAAGAGAACTTCCCTAATCTGGCAAAGGAAATAGACTTCCAGGAAGTCCAGGAAGCTCAGTGAGTCCCAAAGAAGTTAGGCCCAAGGAAGTACACACCAAGCACATCATAATTACATTACCCAAGATTAAAGATAAGGGGAGAATCTTAAAAGCAGCAAGAGAAATTGAGAGAGTTATCTACAAAGGAGTGCCCATAAGACTTATAAGCTGATTTCTCAAAAGAAACCTTTCAGGCAAGAAGGGGCTAGAGAGAAGTGTACAAAGCCATGGATTCTCTCTCATAGGAGCATGAGTTTTCCTACACATCTCCTTCATCATGTCTGAAGTTATAATTGTTCTTTATGTAATGAGAGAATTGTTTCTTATAAGCATTTTCATCTTTTCCCATTAGGTAGTGCATATAATTTTCAATATTCTGACTTATGATGTGCTTGTAAAATATTTCTGTGTTGCATTTCTTGCTTTCTGTATTGTAACCAGGTAATCATTTGGTACTGTGAGGGAGAGACAAGTCTCCATCCATAGCCCATTCAGGGATGCTAAAACTTTATTTCCAGTAGTAGTTATGGCAAGCTGTACATCCAAATAGCAGGTACAGGCACATGATTGACCATCAGTGCTTTCCACATTGTATTCATCTCAGTCACCTCCACTTGGCCTTGCCCTATTTCCTGACCATGCCCTATTGAGAAGCCCACAGACCTGCAGCAGGCCAGTACAATATGCAGGAGCATAATTTGTCAGGCCACCCTTCACACCATACTTTGGGAGTTCATGAATGTAATCTTCAGAAAATATATATCTCTTTCTATATGGGCATAAGCAGATTAATAAATGATATCTCTGTTGGTTACAACATGAACTGTCATCCTGTATTTGGGTGTGTTGTACTTATTTTCGTCCTAGATTACCAAGAGTTCCTGGGCATAAAAATCAGTTTTCCTTTCCCATTGTTTTCTAAATTTTACTTGGTACCTCTTGAAATAAACCTTATTTTTGACAACTTTAACAAACCCCATCCTGTGGAAGAGAGACCCACATTCATGGCTCACCCCAGACCTGCAGGCCCAGCACAGCTCCAGTGGGAGCAGGTTGATGTGCTGTATAATCCATTTTCTTTCTATTACAAACAAATACTTAAATTATAAATTTATTTGTTTTTAACTATTTTAGTAAACTAATATGTAACATTACTGTTTTTTTTGTATTAATTTGCTAGGTAAATGATATTCCTAAAGTAAAGAAAGTAGTATTTGCTATTCCTTGGAATTCTTCTATAAGGAAGATTTGTCTCTTTTCTCCCATTTATTTATTTGTATCGGTCAGGACTCTATATTTATTTTATACTTTGGGTTATAATCTGAATGCAGTGTTAGTTATTTTGTTGCTCAAGTTGTTCCAGTTTGGCCACTGGGAGCTCTTTAAGATTGGTTTCTGTATGCCATGGATATGCCCCATTGTGTTTTTGAACACTTCCTTGCTTTCTGGGCATAAAGAGCCAGGCAGTTATCTTCAAGTTGACATACTATAGTACAAAATGTAATTATTAATAGAATAAAAAGCTTGGCAGAATAAATGATTCAATTCAGTCAAACACAAATTTACCTTTTCATTATTTTAACTATGATTTAATATTATCTTGTTTTGATCAGTAAACTTTTAAAAAAATATTTTTTATTGGTTATGCTATTACAGTTGTCTCAAATTTTCCCTCTTTGTCCTCTCCACCCATACTTAGTGAACTTGTAAATATACTCAAGTATAATAAATATATAGTAGTATATTTACTACTGATATATTAGGGAAACTACAGAGTTTTTTATCGATTTTATTTATTTATTTAATTTTAGAGAGAGGTGAAGAAAGGGAGAAAAGGAGAGAAATGTTGATGTGAGAAACATCGATCTGTTATCTCTTGTACAGCTCTGACTGAGACCTAGCCTACAACCCAGTCATGTGCCCTGACTTGGAATTGAACCTGCAACCTTTTGCTTTGTGGGACAACACTCAACCAAGTGAGGCACACCAGTCAGGATGAATATATATATAAATAGTTAGAGATTTAAATAGTTGGATATATATATATTTATTTTAATGAAATTGTGGTCTGTAGTAAAAGATATGTGAAAATTCTGTATAATGTTATAAATCAAATATCATAAAAGTTTTTATAGTGTGTTTTTCTGAGTAAAAATCTACATTTTAATTAATTTTTTAATTAAAGGAAAGCAGAGTGTTGCGGACAGTTCCTCTACTAGCAGCATGCCTCCCTCAGGACAAATGTAGAGTCAAGATCGGTCGTCGCTTCAGTGAAGAAAGGTAGTTTAAAATAATTTTTTCCACATAAATTTTATAGTATGATTTTTTAAAACTTATCATTTAGACCTAAAACAAGGTACGTTGGAAGTGACCAAAAAATTTAAGTTCTGCCTTTTCTCTCAGAATAATACAGGATAAAGCAAAACAGAAACAGAAACACCTCCCCACAAGATACCAAAATGGAATAAACAAAGGAATGATGGCATTACCTGAATTCTATACTAATATATGTTGAGCCTAAAGGGCATGTATCTTTACTGTTTATTTTGTTTTTGTTCAAGATGATGGGGTACTTTATTAGTGTTAGCGTAGGGTTTTTTATGTTATATATGATGGACATTTACATAAGTAAACACATATATATTTTTAGTCCATTAAAGCTTTCATAAGATACAGTGACTAACTACTACTATATTTAGTTATCTACACATCATATCTATATTTTTAAGGATAAAACACCTTCTGTCATATTTAAAGTATTCTTTTTGATGAGACCCAGTATATTTATGTGTAGCAGCCATTAGTTGATATCTTCATTGAAGATCTGTAGTGTTCTTGGATCTTATTTCACATTCTATTATATAACCATTATCATAAATATATACAAATATATATATTTAAATTTTTCTACAAATCTTTTTAAAGCTTTGAATCATCTTTGTTGCTTTTCTGTCCACCCATAAAGCCTTTACAAATTGCTGTGATCCTGCTTACATGGTTAAATATATTTTTAGATGCAAAATTTAATTTCTCTTGAAAATACGGAGATTTCTTTTTCAGTTCACTTATGAAAATGCAAAGTAAGACTCATACTAGCAGGAAGGCTAGGGAATTGATCCAACTTTTTTCTCCCTGTGTTATTTTTTAGCTTCCTTTGTAATTTAGCTTCATGTTATGAAAGTAACATCATGTTAGAAATTTATATAATTATTTTTTCTGTTTTCTGAAACTGTTGATCAGGCACACTTTTCTCATACAGAATTTTCTTTTGTAGATTTTGCATTGACTTGCTCACAGGTGCTGCTATTGGGAATTTTCCCTTTTTATTGAGAATACAAGTGAGATTCAGAGCTCATAACATGGGGAGCAGCCACATCATTTACATTGTGACACTTCTTTCACACAGAGGCTCTTTATAATGATAGTTTCTTTATAATTCTTAGGTGGGTATGATATATAGGTGGAATAAGGTTCCATCTAATCTGCCAACTTGGATCTACATTATTCTATTGCAAAAATGATGAGCATCTGTGATGGTAAAATTGAAAACTATCTAGCTATCTAACCCCTCCATGAATGTGCTTGGGAATGAGAAGTGTGACACTTTTCCAAATAGCTCATTCTATTTTGAGCCCATTGTATTAACTAGTTCAGTTTTTTTCCCATGGTGCCTAATATAGTGCTTACTCAGTAAATTATTATACAATGATGGATTTTAAACTAAAGCTCACTAAGACTATAGACTTAATATTAATCTGGCATTAGTAATTTAAGCTTTTCTTAGAGTATATGATATAACTATAGGGAAATATATAGTACTTTGGAGATATTTAGCAATTATTATGAGAGGCAAAAATTATGAGATATAGTACTTTTGGTATTCTTTATAAATGGAATTTAAAAATATTTACTTTTAATTTTTGCCTCTATTATGTAAGAAAACACCAGGTTTTACATATCAAGCCTTGTATCCAGTGACTTTCTGATTTTTCAGTTGTAGACATTGTTTTGTGGATTCCCTAAGTCTTTCTGTGTAAGTAGCATTCTCATATGCAAATAGAGTTATTTATACTTCTTCCTTTCAGATGTTTATGCCTTTCATTATTTTTTTCTTGCCTTATTGTAATAATTGGATCTTCAGTCTAATGTGAATCAGGAGTGGTAGAAGGCAACATCTCCACCTTGATTCCAATCTCAAAGAACATTGTTAAATATATTGGCAGTACATTTTTGGAGATGTCTTTTACTGGTTTGAAGAAGATGATGTTTGTTTTTAATTGATTTTTTAACTTGTCTCCTTTCCTCTCAAGCTTATTTTGTTTCTGGTAGACAGAGGCTATCTCATTTATTATTACATCTCCAGTCCAAAAATGCTTTGATATGTATTTTTATCTGTATCTTTGAATGAAGTTAAATAAAAATAATAAAACTTTTGTTAGCCTACAAAGTAATAAAGATTCTTTTTAAAAAATGTTTTAGAGATCCTGAACTTTCAACGGTTTGTCGGAAGTCTAGTACATTAATATTGTATCCAGGGGATGAAGCTGCTAGTTTGGAAGAATTTATATTAGACTCTCCTATTTATCCTTCCACAATCATCATCATTGACGGTACATGGAGCCAGGCTAAGGACATTTTCTATAAGAATTCCTTGTTTCGACTGCCCAAACAGGTAAACTAGTTATATTTCTTAAAATTTATTTTTTTTATTTTTAACTTTATTTTTACTGTTGACACTATTACAGATGTCCCCATTCCTCTCCCCTTTGCTCACCTCCACCCAGCCCCCGCTTCCATCTGCCCATCACAGAAATTGTTGTCTGTGTTTATGGGCTATGCATATATGTTCTTTAGCTATTCCCTTTACCTTCTTTCATCTACCCCTTCCCTCCACCCCTCCCCGCTGACAGCTGTTGGTCTTTTCCATGGTTCTATGCCTCTGTTTCTATTTCATTCATCAGTTTATTTGGTTCATTAGATTCCACATATAAGTGAGATCATATGGTATTTGTCTTTCTCTGACTGGCTTATTTCATTTAGCATAATACTCCATAGGTCCATTCTTGCTGTTGCAAAAGGTAAGAGTTCCTTGATTTTTTACAGTCATGCAGTATTCCATTGTGTAAATGTATCACAGCTTTTTTTTTTTTACTAGAAAGAAGATATTTTAATTTTTTTTTAATTTTATTTAGTTATTTTTCAAGTACAGTTTTTTGTCTATTTTTCCCATCCCAGCCTCCCCCGCTCCTTGCTCCCCACCTCCCTCCCATTTCCCCCCCCTTAGTTCTCGTCCCTGTGTCCTTCCTATTTGTTCCTCCAAATCCTTTCCCCATTTTCCCCTTAACTTCCCTTCCTTCTCCCCTCTGGTCACTATCCCCTTGTTCTCTATTTCAGTGTCTTTGGTTTTTTTTTTTCTGCTTGTTTGTTTGTTTTGTTGTTTAGCTTCCTGTTAAAGGTGAGATCATATGGTATTTGTCTTTCAACCCCTGGCTTATTTCACTCAGCATAATGCTTTCCAGTTCCATCCATGCTGTTGCAAAGGGTAGTAGCTCCTCCTTTCTCTCTGCAGCATAGAATTCCATTGTGTATATGTACCACAATTTTTGGATCCATTCATTTACTGATGGGCACCTAGGTTGCTTCCAACTCTTGGCTATTGTAAATTGTGCTGTTATGAACATTGTGGTGCATAGGTTCTTTGATATTGATGTTTTAGGATTCTTAGGATATAATCCCAGCAGTGGAATTGCTGGGTCAAAAGGCAGGTCGATTTTTATTTTTCTGAGAAAAATCCATACAGTTTTCCATAATGGTTGTACCAGTCTGCACTCCCACCAAAAGTGAACTAAGGACCCCTTTTTCCCACAACCCCTCCAACATTTGTTGTTTGTTACTTTGTTTATGATAGCCATCCTGACTGGTGTAAAGTGGTATCTCATTGTGGTTTTAATTTGCATCTCTCTGATAGCTAACGATATTGAGCATCTCTTCATGTGTCTCTGAATGTTCTGTATGTCCTCCTTGGAGAAGTGTCTGTTCAAGTCCTTTTCCCATTTTCTAATTGGGTTGGGTGTCTTCTTAGAGTGGAGTCGTGTAAGTTCTTTGTATATTTTAGAGATTAAACCTTTGTCTGAGGTATCATTGGCAAATATGTTTTCCCATACAGTTGGTTGTCTTGCTAATTTAATACTGTTTTCTTTAGCCATGCAGGAGCTTTTTTTTTTGTAATATCCACTCAATTACTGATGGGTACTTGGACTGCTTCTATGTAAATGTTTTAATAATTTTCTCTTATAGTTTTATTCACCAAGAAAAAAATAAAATTATAAAATGAAAGTTTAGGTCAGTTCTTATCTGTGTTTTCCAAATATATGAATAATATAGTTTAAGTTAACTAGGTTTTATTGCTAAATGTTATTAGTAATTTTTTATCACCCCCTTCAATATAGATATACCCATATGCCTTCTTTTTGTATAAATTTATCTTGGCTGTTACTTAATTTAGTTGATCCATTCAATTTCTGTAATAGTATAAAAATTTTTATCCATATGCATGAGAGAAAGAAAACGGAAATAAGAATTAAAATCCAATAAGAAGCAAAATCCAATTGCTTTTTTTACAGAAAAGCATATAGTTTTTTTATAAATATGTAACCATATGTGAATTTATACTTACATAATTAAAAAGTGAAAGAATTGTAATGCAAACCCATTACTTGGCCTCCTTTTAATCTGAATTTCTAATACATCCAGACCATTTGGCAGTGAATCTCTTTGTTCAGAGGAATTTTACACAGGAGACTCTTGACATTTGCTAGGAATAAATCTAAAGTGAGTATGGAAATATTTGTAGAGGCTCCTGCCTTTCTTCATAAACTTGTTTTTTTGTGACTATTGGCATTTCCTTATCATACTGCCTTTTAAACTTCTACTTAAAGCTTAATTTCTCACTTGAAAAGCAGAACACTGTTGGGAACACTCACTGGCTGAGACATTTCCCTGAAAACTTTCTCTTATATCTGTGTACATTGAGCTATGATGGACGGGTTTATGTTACATATCTAATCTTTTGAGAGAATCAGATTTATCATTCTCCTTTCAATTTTTTGAGTTATAATTGCCATATAACATTATGTTGGTTTCAGGTATATAGCATAATGATTAAATATTTGTGTATATTGCTATATAATCTCTATAATAAGTCTATGTAGTATCTATCACCATATATAATTATCATTTTTTCTTGTGATGAGAACATTTTTTAATATAATTTTTTAACTTTTTTATTGTTGTTCAAATCTCCATTTTTTCCCCTCACTACTTCCCCCTATACTAGGTATTCCCACTTACCACCCTTGATCCTACCCCACTTTGGTTTTGTCCATGTGTCCATTATACATGTTCCTGAAAACCCTTCCCCCTTTTTCCCCCATTATCTGGTTACTCCCACCTCCCCTCTGGTTACTGTCAGTTTGTTGTTAATTTCAGTGTCTTCTAAGATATACTCTCTTAGTAACTTTAAAATGTATAATACTGTATTATTAACTATAGTCATTATTCTTAGATCCCCAGGACTTGCTTATTTTAAAACTAGAAGTTTGTCCCTTTGACCTGCTGTCACCCATTTTGCTTACCCCCTACCCCCAACCTCTGTTAGCCAGCAATCTATCCTGTGTATCAATGAACTTGTTTTGCTTTGGTTTTAGATTATAAATATAAGTGATATCATACAGTGTGTGAGTATTTATTTTTCTTTGGTTTATTTCATTTAGCATAATGAGCTCAAGGTGTCTCTCATGTTGTTAAAAATAATAAAATCTCCTTTTCTTTATTCTTTCATCTGTGGATGCTTAGGTTCTTTTCATATCTGGCTATTTTATTTTTATTTTTTAAATTTTATTTATTTTTAGAGAGAGAGAGGAAGGAAGGGAGAAAGGGAGAGAAATATCAATGTGCGGTTGCCTCTCACGTGGCCCCCACTGGGGAACCTGGCCTGCAACCCAGGCATGTGCCCCAACTGGCACTCGAACCAGCAACCAGACCTTTGGGTCATAGTCTGCGCTCAATCCACTGAGCTACACCAGCCAGGGCCATATCTGGCTATTTTAAATAATGCTGCAATGAATATGGGTTGGGAGTGTAGATGTCTTTTTGAGTCAGTGTTTTCATTTTCTTCAGATTAACCTTTTAATTTTATTCAAAACCTTAGTTTTGTTTACTTCTATTACCAGCATTGGGAATTGGTCTACTTTTAAAAGAAATTTTATTGAGCCCTGGCTGTTGTGGCTCAGCAGATTGAGTGCTGGCCTGTGAACTAAAGGGTGACTGGTTTGATTTCCAGACAGGGCACATGCCTGGGTTGCAGGCCAGGTCCCCAGCTGGGGGTACTCGAGAGGCAACCACACATTGATGTTTCTCTCCCTCTCTTTTTCTCTCCCTTCCCCCTTTCTCTAAAAATAAATAAGTAAGTAAATAAAGAAATAAATAAAAGATTTATTTAAAAGAAAATTTTTATTGTGTTTATTCAGGTGACAGTGGTTAATAAAATTATAGGGATTTCAGTTGTACAATTCTATAGGGATTAGCATACTTTTAAATGCTTTTTTCTTCTGAGAAGGATTTTTTTTTATATTTAGAATATTTAGAGACTTCCGCCAAGATGGAGGTTTAAGGTGGATGTGCCTGCCTCCTCTCACAACCAAGTTTAAGGACAACTAAATATTGGCATCAGAAAACACAACCAGAACACGGAAAACTGAACTTTTCGGAAGTCCGCAAACAACAAATTCTTCAGCCCGGCCGGTAAGCGGCGAAACCGGCGGGCGGCGGGTCAGGAGTTACAAAGGAGAACTCGAGCGACCCGGGCGCGGGCGCGCAATCCAGACGCGCGACTTTTAGGAAGTCCGCAAACAACAAATTCTTCGGCCCGGCCGGTAAGCGGCGAAACCGGCGGGCGGCGGGTCAGGAGTTACAAAGGAGAACTCGAGCGACCCGGGCGTGGGCGCGGAACCCAGACGCGCGAATCCAGTCGCACGGGTTCCAAACCCAGGATTGGACCTAGTGAGCAGCCCACCGGGGGAGCGACTACGGAGGAATCAGTGGGGAGGCGGTGGCAGCGAGTTGACTGTGGGTGCCCGGTTACGCGCGGGTGAGGGAGTGAGCGGTGGGACCGGCTGCGGCGGCGCCATTTTCCCCGCTCTGACCACGCCCCCACATACAGCGTCACAACCCAGCGACCTGGGACTCCAAGGCGCCGCTTCTCTCACTTAAAGGGCCAGAACAGACCAAAAATGTCGCAGGGGGGTCCTCAAAGTCCCGGAGATAAATCTAAGTGACGAAGAAATAGCAAATCTCTCAGACGCACAGTTCAAAACACTGGTCGTCAGCTTCCTCACAGATCTGGTGGACTATAGCCACAAATTAGAGAAACATATGAAGGCTAAATTAAGGGAAATGAATGGAATTCCACAGGAAATCCATAGAGATGAAAAAAAACTGGGACTCAACTCAATGGAGTGAACCAGAAGGAAGAAAAAAATGATCAATCAGAAAGGAATGAAGAAATAAGAATTCAGAAAAATGAGGAGAAGCTTAGGAACTTCCAGGACATCTATAAACGCTCCAATATCCGAATTATAGGGGTACCAGAAGGGGGGAAAGACACAACCACCA